ATAAAATTTAACACAACATTTCTTTTATAATCATCATCATTCTTGACATGCAAAAAGAAATGTCTGAGTAAAAGTATTGGATCTGTGGTAAACAAGTGATCCCTCGGAAGCATTAAAAACAGCAAAATTACATCAAAATTGCAGAATTGGTTTGATTGAGTCTGTACATGAGGGATAACGAAAAAGTGCAACATCCCTCACCCCCCCCCCCCCCCCAGCAATATTATATGAAAATTGCAGACTCTGTTTGATTGAGTTTGTTCATGAGGGTGCAACATCAACGGTAAAACAATATTGTAGTCCCTACAAATAAATTAATGAGAGCTTACGGCAGATATCTAATTACCTTAATTAAATGCAATTTCATTTGAAAAATACGAGGGTCATTCAATAAGTTCAAATGTTTTATACTGTTACGTTTTAAAAAAATGTTTCCTATTTCAAACCTTTAAAGTTTTCGACACTTATCTGGAATTATTTTGTAATCTCTCTGTCCAGTTTCGAAAGCTGAAAAATAATCTTCTTTTGGAGCCTTTCGTCCATACTAATAAATTGCGCTGCAAAGAGAACTCCTTGGCGTATATCTTTTACCAAAAAACATTTTCTTAAGCCTGGGAAACAGCAAAAAAGTCGCAGGGACTTAAGTCAGGAGAATAAAGCGGATGGTTTAGAACTTTAACATTTTCAGACTCCAAGAAAGACTTAACAAACTCGCTTTCATGAGAAGAGGCATTGTCATGTATAAAAATGGAATCCAAATCATCATTTGTTTTGTAAAATGCCTTACCTTTTTCAATACAGAATTCTAGAAGATTTTTTAAGTGACTGTGATCAGATGGACAAGTCACTTGAACGACTGGTCCACTGGAATTGAAGAAAATCGCATACAACATCTTCTTTTTTGTACTGATGGTCCTTTTTGCGATATATGACCGTTTGTTATCTTTTCGCAACCATTGTTTGTTTATGGCCCTTTTTTGAGGTTAAAACATATTCATTTAAGTTTCATCACATGTCAGCGAGTTAGAAATAACCCGACTATCACAGTCTTTTATGTTTTCAGAACTTCTTGTACACTCTTAAGACGCTGTTTTTTTTTTGTTTTTTTTTTGCTCCTTAGTGCAAACCTTTCTTAGACCCAAACACTTGGTCAGAATTTAATGAAAACTGCCTTCTGATATGCCAGTATAACTTGCTAACATCTTGCATCTGCTACTATAATCTTTACTGCAGCCTTGGTAATCGAGGATGTAGGCCTACCTGGTAGTAGGCCTTCCATGACGGCAGTCATCTTTGACAGACAATTGTCCAGCTTTAAAGGCTTTGACCCCTTACAGATTGAGCGATTTGAAATGCTACAGTTTTGTTCTCCATTGTACAGTGTGGTAAGTAAATTGGTCAGTGTATATGACTGCATATATTTCGAATTTAAATATATCTGTCATATTACACGCAAAAGATGGCATGAAACAAACCATAAAAGTTAGATATTTAAACATAGTTGAGAACAATACTATTGAACTCGTACATAGCTGCAAAAACCTTGATCAGAATCGTCTAGCACCTTGTTTAATTGAGATTTGGCAGCTGTCTATTCTTCTAAAAGAATTCGGTATTGTACTCAACAATGTATAATAACCTTATACAATTGCGGTTATTGTTTAACATTTTTGCCTTTATTTGAACTATTTTGTAAAACAAACTGTGTGGTATTCATCGAGAGCAATATAAAGTACTTAAGTGCAGACTCAGAGTTTGGTCAGACGTCTGTTCATGAGAGATAATGAATGATGCAACATCTTCGCGCCCCCTAGCGCTGGATTACGCAGTATTCAACCATCAACTACCGGAATTAAAGACCAGCACTTACCGTAAGTCATTTTCTTAGCTACAACGTATATATGTATTTAACAATAACTGACCCTTATTTCGTAGAGATTATAACCAACAAGATGGCAAAACTTGGATGTTCACAAAGAATATCAACAGTAATTTGAGATTCTTTTACATTTTATATGAACATTAAATCCTAGGGGCTTTAAAGATACATTATGTCATCATTTTGCTGTTTGTTAATATTCCTCTCAGAAGAATAAAAATATTTCACTTAAATATTTCTTTATAACATTATAAAAATTTAGATTCGTACATATTTAAATTAACCCTAGTAGATACTTTAGATAAGACCCAAAATGCCCAAAATGCCAATATAAAAATGTTGCAAAAGAAATGTTGACTGTTGATTGACAACAGTGATATATGAAAGTCATTGCCAAAGCCCTAAACACCAGCTTATGCAGTTGTCAATATAAAAATGGGGGTATAATTATGGAACTTTGTAAAATCCTTTCTGAACTTTTGTTACTTTGATTCACATCCTTATATCGGGATATAAAGTTACTTACCCCATGTCAGTTATAACCTGATATATATAACATATATGACATTATTTAACCTCCTAATTGTTTAACATTTTACACTTTTGTAAAATGCGTCTGAAAACAAGTTTTCCCCTACCATTTTAATTATAACATCATAACATTTTTTATGAATTCTATTTTTCTGTATGTGCAGCTTGTTTTTTCTTTATATATTCTGTCATATACATTGTTCTAATTTTAAGTTGTTGTTGTCAGCTAATTAAAAGACCACGTATCTATTTACTTTTTATCTCAGTAAAACATAAAAATAATACACGATGCTCATAAATAAACATAAATATAGTAACGTGTATAAAAACATACTTCAGTAAAATGTCATATAGTACGTTTTCTATAAAAAGATAATTAAAATGTCAAATACAGAAAATGTGTAATTAAAGCACATAAGTAAAACAATGTGCCATCTCTGCAGAGAGACAATTTTGTTAAAGTGATAGATATACATTTAAATGTTTAGAGATTGTGCTTGTTGTATTTGATCTCAAATACATGCTGAACAAATCGCCGTTCTACAGATGTTTCGTGGCACTGTTGAAGTCCTGCTACAATGCACTGTTCACTATTAAGTTTAAAAATTACTAAATATCTATGGTGGCTGATTTGGTACACTTTGCGCGTTTCATTGACGATAGCGAGAACACAACCTATATCGTTATCGTCTTTTCGTCTTGCCGCTAGCGAAACGCACCACAGCACTGTCGTCCTGTCGCTAACGATACACGCTAAAGGGCGTGTTGTTGTGCAGCATGTTGTCGCGATGTCGCCCTGGCGCTTAGGTTATAAGCCAATCCTTTGATTTGAGCCGAGCGACAATGTGACATCGCAACAAATTGGAAATGAGACAGATGTGTTCGACATACAATAGAAAGGACACTCGAATCAAATTTGTCTTTCCATAAAATTCTAAAAACCGGTATTAATTATGCCCGTACGTATACCGGCTACCAGCCATTGTTCTGTGATTTCTGTATTTATATTACCGTTTTAGGTCATTTCCGGACAATCAAAAATTTCCAGTCATATATCAACTTAAAGAATATCCTTGTTCTGCATGTCACAATGAAAATTTCTTCCATCGCAGTATCCAGAACCCATACACATATGCAGCGAGTCCGTTTTTATCGTTATTAATTGTGATACGTTTCTTAAAGTTTTATAAATAATTTAAGAAATATTCTTAGCAACAATGTGGTATAGTGTGTACGGTGAAATAAAAGGGATATAGGATTTCTCATTTATTACGTGCGTACGCGATAGGTAATACTTGGCCAGGCCATACTATTATGTGCGCACGCGATAGCTCTTACGTTCTCAAGGGATAGTTATTGCGTGCGCACACGATAACTATTACGTGCGCACGCGGATGGGTATTCCGCATTTGGACCCTGGCGAGCTTCCTCGCATGAATAGTTCGACGCCTCGAATGAGTGTCGAACCTACAGCAGTTAGGGGCAATTGGTCTTTTGAAATCACTCGGTCACAGAAACACCTAAATGGTCTAAGGAAGAAAATGAGAAGACCATCCCACTTGTAGTTTGTTTTCATCAATTTTAGTGAAAATCACCCATAATATGTGGAAATTTCAACTCGTTGTTCAAAATAACACAAATTTCCATCTATTTAGAGTTAGTTAGTGTAAAGAAAATATCTTTCTGATCTTTTATTGTTCCTCTATTGGTAAATGTTCATATTAGGGTAACATTTTTCTATATAGATTACTTAAAATCAAACTTTATCTAAAGATGCGAAAGCGAGAAAGATTATCGCTGGCTTCTTTGAAATTTGTAAAATTTAATATGCGGCTCAAGCTGGATGATTGCCAGGATTTTTAATTTTATATTCCAGAAAATGTTCTTCATTTGGCCATCGTCTGTTTGAGTGTGTCAAAATGTATTCTAAAGAAAGCTTATTTACTGGACCAAGTGAAAGAAGTTCACCGGGTGGGAATTATTCACAATTGTAACAGTTCTTTCCTTGCAAAATTCCGGTTTATATTGCAACTAGAACAAGTGAAAGATTCAACTGTAACGGGAAATGAATTGTGTATTGAAAAAATCGTTAAATTACTTTTACTAACATTAGTTGAAACAAGTTATGAAATTATCTAGTTAACGAAAAATCATTAAGCTCCCTTGAATTTTATGAACAAATGTTGCATTGTCGAGTTTGCCTGTGTTCTCTGTCTGAGATATCATTCATCAAATATCCATGCAGTACGTGCAGAATTGCAACACTAGGAGCAACATATATATCGAGACTTTGTTTATTTGTTTGCTTTGAAGGTCAAGATTTACGAAAAATACTTTATATTTATGAGCTCAATACTGTCACGATAAAGAACTATTTTGACTAAATATTTCGTTGGGTTAGGACTTGGTGTCGATTTTTTGTCATATGTTATGTCTATAACCTCTTTTATTTCTACCTTATCTTTATTAAAAGACAAAAATGCACTTAAATACATTCAACAAAAGAGTTGTTGATCAAATAATTTGTATGCACGTTGAATGCTGAGAATGTGATTGTGGGACATATCAAGTGTAATTCATCAACACCCAAAACATCAGTTTCCTTTATTTTTCTACTGACGATTTGTACGGAAAGCTACTTCAGGGATCACAAAAACCCCACTAAATATGAAAACTTAAGACAGCATTCCTCAAAAGTTTAAAGTAAAGTCTGAGAAGCAAAAAAAAAAATAACATTGCTCTTTTCAACATTGTCCGTGCATGTTTTTCACCTTGATAAGGACATTTTTCACGGGAACGTTTTTTGTCGTCCATAAGCCAATACCTCCCTGCTCTCGTTTCCCATAAACTCCATTTAAGTTTCCCAATCTATAACATTCTTTATACCACCATCCGCCACCGTCCAGATACTTCTGACAACAATTACCAGAAGAAGCGTCGTTGTCCCTGTCATATGTTGAAAATTTCATATTGTTATGGTAACTGAACAATTCGCCAATATTCCCCTCATAATTAAATGCATTTACGTTCATGGTGTAGGCAGTTGTTGCGTCGTGAACGGTGAAAACCTTATAATGTGCATACTCTTTTTCCCCCTCATAATTCTCCATGTCAAAATAAATTTGACTGCCACCAATAGTAAGACGATGAATTTTCTCTAAACCAAGCCAATGTGACCCATCGATATCTCCAAAGCCATTTACGTAATCATCCCATGACCGGTAGAAATTTATCTTATCATCCGCACGTTTCTAAAAAAATATATTTTCATATTTTTATAAATCATTTGAATGGATTGTTAAACACCATCCGAGAAATCATCCAAAACTGAATATAGATACTGAATACAAATTCAACCGTTTAAAGCTTCTAGCTAGAAATAAATCGGATAAAATGGACTGTAAATGCTGTTTTTTACATTATAAAGGCGAAATAAATAAATATATTCATACTACATTAGTTGAATTGTAGCGTAAGCTCGGTGCCGCTCCATGTGAATAACCAGTACTTGTGTCATGTACGGAAATACAGTGGTCAAACCGACAACCACCGGTTTCATCATTTATTAATATAAAACATTGAATGTAAGATATCATGGAAATACACTGTACTTGAATTAATGTCCAGCCACCATTTGCCATGTCACAAAACACAAAGAATGGGCATCTCCCGTCTGGCGAGATGGAATAAACACCGTCTTGTCTGGTACCGTTTTTATATATCTCCGAGCAATCTGCGAAAATTCATGCTAAATACTAAATGTAAACAATAAGAATGTTTCATAGAATTTTTAAAGAATCACGCATAAAGAACTAATATTGCGTAGAATATATACGAAACAAAAGTTCCAACTGGATTTTTGAGTGCTGCTGAATAATCAAACAACACTGGTGGTGGTATTGTGCTGGTTCATTTGGGTCATTGTTTCTTTACTTCGGCTACCTGAAATAAATCTTGAAAACTGAAGCTATGAAATGTACGCCGAGGCGACAAACAAGAATCCTCAGACAAAGAGACAAATTAATACGCCAAAGCAACGACACGATTTGCCGAAATAAATAACCAATATGAAAAAGCATATAAAATCATCATGTCACCCCATTGCCTTATCCTTTTTCGTGTCATCTTATCGCCTCGTATCTTCAGCTATCCTCAGACTCTGGCTCATCGACACGTCATCTTCTTGATGCTTTGGTGTATCATCTCGTCTATTCGCTTCACTGTATTATTATTTCTTATCCTCGCATTAAAGAGTCATCGCTTTCGCTAATTGTCTCGTCGCTTCAGGTATTGTCTTATATTGTCCTCGTATCGGCGCTTCGATACAACTTCTTGTTGCTTCTGCATATCATCTTGTCGTTTCAGTGCATTGTCTTACCGTGTTCACGAATTGTCGATTCGGTGCAACATCTTGTTGCTTCAGTGTGTGTATCGTCTCGTCACTTCGGCGTATCACCTCGTTGTGTATTCCATTATTGTTAGCAGTAATGTTACAAATAATGCAAAGAGACAATGTACTGAAGCGACGAGATGATAAAGCAATGACACAAAATGAGATATGGCAAAACGAAAAGATCATCACACGTTGCATAAAAAGCAACAACAAGATGCGCGGACAAGATATTTATTTCGCGTTTTCACATTGTCCCGTCGTTCCTGCGCATTGTCTTGTTCCGTGGCTTAGGCGTTTTAAGTTTATCAGAGGTCGCCGATGCGAAGGCACGATGGCTCTAACAAAACATTGTATATCATATTGTACAGAACAGTTGCTGTAAGAACAGACATCATGCTTGACCAACAAAATATTAGACGCAGTAATAAAGGAAGTATGAAATTAAATCAGTTATGTTATAAACATATTTCTGTATCAGTTTCAAGCAAGCACTCAAATGTTCAGCACATCCTAATTATTCAAAACATACCATCCAAGTGACGATGTCAATAAAAGTAAAACAGATGATTCTATACTGTAATGGAAAAGATAAAAGTCAATCCCGTTTGTAACACAGATGATAAGAGGAAAAGGTCACATCTTTAAAGCAACATTCTACGTTCGAAGAGGAGATAACCCTTGATATGAGGTACTTAAACTATCAACATCGTCATACATAATGTGAAGGATAACAATGAATAATTAATTATCTTAAGTCTAAATAAGATACCATTTGTAGTACCAAAGAAGAAAAGTTAAAAAATATAGCACATTTTAAAATAAATTTCAATTTCCAAATAAAGAAAATTATACAGATTCTATACTTATATTCTAATCACATTATGATAGAGGTGTTGATAGCGGACATATATTTTAAGTTTTAGTAACTTTCGGAGGGGAAAGAAACAGAAAAAAGAGAATGATTTAAGTTTAAGGGGGGATTATTCTAGAAATATTGACCCTTGTCACATTATTATGAGTATCCTTTCATTTCAATACGTAAATACTTGTAGTTTAACACCTACAATACTCTCTGGTTAGTTCACCTAGTTATAATCATTAAATGTATGTTCGATATTCAATCTCTAACATATATGATACAAGTAAATACATCTTTTTTGACAGACCCTTTCAGTAATCTAAATTAATTTTGATCACACTACAGAATGTAAATTGTTATCATAACAACAAAAGTCACATATTTTTCGAAATTCAACTTAATCATGAGTGGAAATCCATGTAAAATAATAACACACTGGCCTTAGCTTTCGCAAAAGCGGTGGGTCCATCGCAACGGCGGTGGAGTATTCGTCGCAGAAGCGGTGGATAAAATATGGCCGTTTGCTGTTTTCGGTAAGTATATGACTGAGTTTTGTTTTATGTTTTAATGTTTAACTGGAAATACTCAGTGAGACTGGAGCCCACATATGTACTCTTTCAACCTATTACACACACACGGTGCAATTCATTGCCGTTTATGCAAACACTTCTGTACAGTTTGATGAGGGGACGCCACTTTTGTCTAATTTTGGTTAAAACACATACAAATGTGTACAAAACGACCCCATAATAGATCGGCATCACATCGAATGAATGATACCATTTTTGTATATTTAAAAAGTTTAACTGGACGTAACGCACTTTTCAATTGAGTACGGTCCTTTTCTTACTTTGACATCTGAGAAACGTGTTTATTTGATGTTTAAAACGATATTAATTATTATATATACGCTCGTACAAAAATATGTCCGAGGTCCGCTTTCATTTTCCTTCCATTGAAAATTTCTTCAGTCATAATTATCATAGAATAATTCACGTTCAACCTTCTGCGACGAATACTCCACCACCATTGCGATGGACCCACCGCTTCTGCGATAGCTATGGCCAGTGTGAATGAGATACATCGTGGTTTTAAAGATAACATAATCGCCTTTACCTCTTGGAAAGCCTTCGATTGTCGTATAAGGCGATACGTTTTGTTGTTGGACAAGCTTCTGCAGTTGCTGTATTTGAAGTTCTAAAGAATTGATTTTCTCTTCCATTTTCTTCGAGCAAGAACTTGAAGGGACAGCGTCTGTATTTGCAGTGCATGTCCAAGTACTTTGGCCGTAACACACGTCAACGGCAACAAGAGCAGACAATGCCAGGAACGAAAACATTTCCTGGAAGTTCTGTAAAAAAATGTTTATTAAAAGTTTAAAATCTAAAGATGTTTAATATACATGTACAATATATTAAAAAACACAATTACTTGATCATTAGAAAAGTAAGAAATGAACGAAGTTATGAAAATTGTTGTTTTTTCTTCTTTTTTTTAACACCAAACCAAAATTCTGGTAAAATGTAAAGAATATCAATATATTTTGTAAATATCAATAAACCAATAATTTATTCCATGAAACTGTAAGACGAGTATACGAAAATACTTACAAAAACTCTTTAATCTTAAAACCGCTCGAAACAAATAGTATATATCTCTTTTTACAAACACAGTACAGGAAATAAATGCTTAAATTTTCATACAAAGGAAGTACTTACTCCTGTTAGCCTATTTTATATCAAATATTAACAATAAATTAGTATCTCGTGCGACATAATAACAATGAAGTTATTTATACAATGTATATGTAAACTGAATTACACTTAAGCTTAAATATAACGAAATATCTTACAGGACATAAAGTACAGGACTTAAAATGCACTGCCCTTAAACGCGATACTCAAACATGAAATCACGAAAGTACGATAATGATAATACGCCAGTTCGATAACAATAATTTGATTAAAAAAAGGTATACATGTGTAGATGCTTAAGTGTAAGTAATGTGTATTCGTAATTGTACTGTCGCTTTATCTTTATCTCAAAGTAGCATTATTGCTATTGTTATGTCGTGTTGTTATCGTACTGTTGCATGGTCTTTATAATATTATTACATTATTGGCATCGTACTGTCGCGTTTTTGCTAATGTACTGTCGTGTTGATTTATAATCGTACTGTCGCGTTGCCGTAATATCATACGGTCGTGTTTCGTTCTTTCGCATAACGTATTATAATATACATGTATACAAAGGTATAATCTAAACTATATAACTTACTCAAACATTGTTCTGAATTTAAATCTGTTACATTTTATTTCAAAGAGAAAATTTAGGACCTTTTCATAAAACTTTTAACCTATTCATTCATCAAGATTTGGTGTTTGTAATTATTTTTGTCCAATATGATTGCAGTATATCAAATGTATCGTGGTAAATCGACAAACAGTTAATCAGTTTGGTAAATAAAAAATAATTTAAAACACTAAGCTGGTTAAAATTTATTAGTATATATTTATAAAACTGGGCCGCGCCTAACCAAATACGTACTAATAAACTTTAACCTATACCATATAGCTTAAATTTGATACAAATAAATCAAATCACCAATGTCAAAAATGAAATTGACAAATACAAATAACATTGCAACAGTACACAAACCAGTCTTTACATTTGCACTGCGCGGCTTCCAATTTAATCTTATAAATTGAAATGCAAAATTAAAGAACTAACAATACATCCAGATAACTTTTGTAAATATGATACACTAAACATTTAGGTGAATTTTCTATTGTACTGAACCATTTCTTTACCAACTGACACCCTGTCTCATCTCACAAGTTTTCTTTAACTTGTCAATATTAATATAGTATTTTGATTAGTAAAACAATCTGACATGGTCAAAATATCTGAAACCTGATTAACAAAACAAATGTATAGATAAACAATAATTACTACTATTGGTATGCAATAACAAGGCAGTATTATAGATACTAATAGTGTTTTATTCTATCATCATTTGAAACGGTAAAATAACATCCAATAATTTGTTAAATATTAACCAAAAACCCCTCTCTACCGCCATATTAATTACGAAAAATGATCATTTTCCTCACCAGTAAACCTAAATATCCAAAGAAAATAAAACACTAGGTCCTCAAGCACGCGATGTAATTAAATAATAGTTATATTTATTTCACAACTGAAATATAACCAACAATTTACATATATACTACACAACCTTGTACATTTCTTTTTGCAATACAGTGTTCGAATATACACCTTCTATGTAATACAAAATTAAGTTATTTGTCCAAACACGTAACCGAAATAAATACACAGTGTGTGTGTGTGTGTGTGTGTGTGCGTGTGTGCGTGTGTGCGTGCGTGCGTGCGTGCGTGCGTGCGTAAATATATGCTTTTGATGTTTTGTTTGATTATCTTTATTTGTAAATTTGACAATATGTTTTTGTCTCTTCAGCTTTTTTATATAAGATCATCTACTGTTTTGAGCGTAAGCTTCACACTGAATTGAAATGTGTATGAAACTGTGTACTTTTAATGTAAAAGGTTTGGGAAATTATATGAAAAGAAAGCAAGTTTTTAATTGGCTAAATTTACAAAAGTGTGATATATGTCTTTTACAAGAAACGCATTTAAACACAAAACAATATTTTAAATTGACAGCAGATTGGGATTGACGGGCTTTTTTCAGTGGAAATACTTATAATAGTGCCGGCGTATGCATCTTAATTAACAGCAAATTTGATTGCAAAAACATAACATATACAGAAATAGTTTGTGGTTGATTAATAGCAATTGAGTTTGAACAGACAATGAACACATATATAATAATAAATATCTATGGACCAAATAATGATGATATCTAAATTTTTGAACAGCTAGATAAATTATGTTCATGTCCTCCAAAGATGTAAGCGACACGACTAGGAGAGAGCTGCGACGTGGCCTCGGAAAACATCCCTCCAACAGAGGCTTTATGGTGATGTTGAGGACCTGAGACGGACCACATCCTTCAGCGTAGATACTGGCGTAGTCGTGTAATTGCGAACGCCAGTAAGTAAGTACAGCCCGGGCGAGGTTGATTTGAATAAATGCAATTAAAAACACATGCATATTTCAAAACGATTTGTTTTTTTCCCAATTACTCTATGCCATTCTAAACACAAGTAAATAACAAGTATATGAGTTGCGAAATGACATGATCACTGAAATATTACTTTTCAGCTTATCAATTATAAATGTTATGAAATTACAAAACACTAATTGCACAAATGAAGTATAGGTTCTATGATATATAACTTTTATGTGGCAATTTTACATTTGTATATTATTTTTTGTGAAAACAGTCTTGAAAATTTTATGAGGGCACAAACAATTTAAAAAGACTTTTTTCCTTCATTCGATCGGTATTTGAATTCCTCGGCTTTAATTTGCCACATTGAATTTGACAGTGAAGACAAAAACTGCTCACGTCAGAAAAAAAAGAAAGAAGGATATAAATAAAAAAAGAACAATGTATATCATTTGAATTATTGTCCAACAATATTGACCTGGCCCTTCATTAACTTTCGTAAAGTTCATTTGATAAACACTGAACGGTATCTATCGACTATATCGATATATTTGCTGACCACTCGTCAGTGAGGTGTGGTATTTTGGTATAGATGTCGGGCTATCGATCTGTATAAATCTGGTTCGATTCCATACCAACACCATGTTATGAATTTAATTTTCAATTTTCTTGTCAGAATTATTTTGATATCGTTTAACTATGCCTTGTTTAGGATACCTTTTAAGGAGTGGTTTTTTATTTGTTTGGGTCGTCAGACCAAACAAATAATGGTAGCGAAATTTCAGACCCTGATGTGCTTATTTGCAAAAACCGAAAGTATTCCAAACTCCTCGAAGCGGTTACTTCCCTTTATATGTACACTAACGCCGAAAAATTTAAAGGGAGATCACTGCGTAAAGATTGTCAAATGAGAGGCGCATTAATTTTCAAGTTTTCTCGGGGAAGAAAAAAACGTTTCAGATTGGTCGAAGATTTTTAATATTGTGTTATTCTTTATTGATATACATGCTCCATGATAATTTACATCAGTGTTAAACGACAGGTTTACCGTGAACAAAATATATCGAAATCAATAAGGGTTACAAACCCTAATTTAGAATAATGTGGTTTTCTTCAGGCTGTTATCTTATAACTTCCCCGTGGTCGAGGGGTTTACACGCTCGCTTAGGAAGCGAGAGGTCTGGAGTTCAAATCCCAGTTAAGGCAACTTTTTTTTTTTTTTAAATTGTTTAAGCCAAATAAACATTGAATTGAATATCAGTGTTGCAATTAGTCTTATAGCCAATTTACTACAGTTATAACACTGGAAACAGCATTGGTGGCACTATACAAAAACAAATTGGTTTATAATCTCACAACCTTCACCTTTCTGACATTCTGAGACCCAAACAAATTCAGCGCCTTCTGTGCTTTGATTATAGATAATTATATATATATTTTATTTTATTACAGTATCTTTCAACGGTTCTCTTTGTGAACTTATGCAATCGTAAATGTTTTAGCGCATCATGCTATAAAGGCAGTTATTCAAAATACTACACAGATAGTAGACACAACAAAAAGGTTTGCAAGAGATTTAAAAGAATAAATGGCAATTTTAAAATGAAATAAAAAAGAAATAATAAATTGCTGAATAAGTATTCGAACCTACCAGTCTTGAAGTGAAACCCATAAACCGAATGCGCTAAGAGGGATTTTTTGTTTTTGACAATTTAAAAATTGTGTGTTTATATTCATATCGATTTACAAGTAGATCGTAACATTTACGGAATATAGCGACTTCAGCGTCAAATGACATGTTGAGTTTGCGTAGAATAAAACTGACTTTATACGATTTTACCGGAGTCACCATTCAAGATAAGCTGCGCTGGTTTTCGTTTCTATTGAGCGTTCGTGGCCGAGTGGTTAGGGTCGTTGATTTCAAACCACTTGCCCTCACTTGTGTGGGGTTCGAATCACGACAGGGACTTTGGATTATTTCATGTGAGAAACCAGCTGGCGTACAAACTTGAGGTGAAAGGGCACCTGAGGTCTTTCTCCACCAGTAAAGTTGGAATGTTGCCATATGACCTATACTGTGTCGCTGCAACATAAAACCCATTCAAAAGAAAATTCAAAAGTGTTCATTTCTGAGCGTGCACGTATATATATAAAATATGCATACATGATATAAAAGCATATTAATTAACGGAATGATTATTTTCACTTGAACTAAACATAATTATGTCATTTATATTTAACACTGATTTATGTAAACCATTCATTCTTGCCCACGTAAACACGGTCATTAATCATTTTCTATTTACTTAGTTTTCAGTTTCTGTTTTTTTTTCTCTCTCTCTCTCTTTTTTCATTCAAATAATTCATTATTTGCTTGCGCACATGTTGAAAAATTACTTTATGTTTATTTAGACTATATCATGAACATACAAATCATACAGAAGGCAAATCCAAATTAAGATTAAGTCCCCCTTCCCTTTCCCCACTACTATCACACAAAAAAAAGTGTCGTTCGAACTTATAGTCGTATCTTCATACAGTGTTTTCTGGCGAAATACGTACTTGAAATGCGCTAAAAGCTGATACTGTACTGCTGGACTTTTTGGACATTTTGTATAATTATGACATATTTATAGCAACAGAAACATGGTTATCACAAAAAACACGTTTAAATTTAGAAATTAAGGGCTTTAAATGCGATCATTTATATGGAAATAAGTCACATAATGTTAGAAAAGGACGATATAGTGGCGGAATTTCAGTATATTATAAACAGTATTTAAATAATAAGATTAGGATCGAAGAGAAACTATCATGTGGTATTGTATGGATAAAATTACTTAAATCGCATTTTAATACAGTAGACGATATTTATATTTGTAGTGTATATATTCCGCCAAATAGTTCAAAAGTGATTAATAGGCAGGAAATTGATATTTTTGAAACCATAGAGATAGGCATTGAAAAATATCGAAATAATTAGCAAAATCTTCCTAAATGGCGATTTTAGTAGCCGAACATCAAACCAAATTGATTATTTATGTTTTGATAGGTATATTGACAGCGATCAGCTGTCAAATTTGACCCACGTACAACCGCGTGTAAGTAAAGATCACGTGACAGATGCTAACGGTACGAGATTATTAAGTTTATGTAAATCTTCAAATATGTTAATCGCTAATGGTAGGTTAAAGAAAGATGCGAATATAGAAAAAATTATACTTTCTACAACAGAAACGGTTATAGCGTCGTTGATTACTTAATCTCAAATATCAATGATTTTGATATCATCTCAGATTTCGAAATCCTTCCACCGAACGAGTTTTCCGATCATACACCCGTTAAAATAGTATTGGACATTTCAACTAAAACCTGTTTAAAACCCGACAGTGCGCACGAGAATAAACGTGTTATTTGGGACGAGACTAAAAGTCAAGTATTTACGGAGCGTCTAGCCGGGCAACAAAGTGTGATTCAGTTATTATGCGAAAACATAGAGACTAACGGTATTGACAATTCAGTAAGTCAATTCACTACTTTAATACAAGACACGGCATTTTCAGTATTTAGCAAACAATATCAACACACATCGAATAACAAAAAAACGCAGTATCTAAATCACGATAGAAAAAAATGGTTTAATGCAGCGTGTTACGAAGCAAGGAAAAAATTCACAAAAGCAAGAAATCAGTTTGTAAAAAATAAAAATGATATGCGATTGCGAAATATTTATTTTGATTTAAAAAATGAATACAATAAAGTTAAATTCCGGGAAAAGAAAAAATTTAAGATAAACGAGGGTAGGAATATAGCAAATATCGCAAAATCTAAGCCAAAACAATTTTGGAAACATGTAAAAAAGCAATACAAGCCTCAAAATACTCGGACAGAAAATTTAAACATAAATGATCTCGGCCAGCATTTTCAGTCTTTATTTGGGGGTGAAAATATAAGTTTAAACAATTTAAACATACCCGAACAATATGATGCAGAGTTAGACTCAGAAATTTCTTTACTAGAATTAAAGGAAGCCGTATTTTCCCAAAATGATGGAAAGAGCCCCGGGCTCGATAATTTGCCCTCGGAAATATTTAAAAATTCATTTAATATCATTAGCTCTTTTCTACTTAAATTATATAACAGAATGTTTATGAATGCTGAATACCCGAAAACTTGGGGCGAAGGTATTATTACCCCAGTTTTCAAAAGTGGAAATGCGGATGATCCAAAAAATTATAGTGGTATTACCCTTATTAATATCTTGGGGAAAATTTATTCTCAAATCTTGTTAAATCGACTCACAAAATGGTCGAGAAAATACGAAAAGATTAACACTTACCAGTTTGGCTTTCAAAAGGGCAAGTCAACAGTAGACTGTATTTTTATTCTACATTCGTTAATTGCAAAAGTACTAAGTGAGCGTCAAAAGCTCTTTTGTTTATTTATAGATTTTGAGAAATGTTATGATAAAATAGATAGGGTATTACTTTTAAACAAACTCTTACAACAAAACATTAGCTCCAGATTTGTTAGAACTATCAGATCTATGTATGAAACAGTAAAATTTTGTGTGCGTCACAAGACAACGTCCCACTTTTTCGAATCGGGGGTAGGATTGAAGCAGGGGGACCCGAGTTCCACTTTGCTATTTTTATTTTTCGTGAATGATCTAAAAGAAAACATAAACTCAAATTTAGACGGAGTAATTAGTGTTAATGAAATTCAGTTTTTCCTTATCATGTTTGCCGACGATACAGCACTTTTTGCCACAAACCCGATATCTTTGCAACTTATGCTAAATGACTTAGAAACATATTGTAATAGATGGGCGTTGAAAATAAATGCAAATAAAACGAAAGCGATGATTTTCAAAACAGGGAATAGGGGCTCAACGTACGATTTTTATTTAAATAGTATTAAGCTGGAACTTGTAACATCATTTAAATATCTAGGGGTATATTTTTTTAAGAACAATATCTGGAACCGAACTCAGAAAAGACTCGTCTTTTTCACTGCACAATCTTTTTATTGTATGCAATCAATTAGAACTGCCAGTGTCCCAAAAATGTAATCTTTTTGATAGTCTTGTAAGTTCTATCTTAAATTATAGCGCGGAGGTTTGGGGATATCATGAAGGTAAAGATATTGAAATGATTCATACCAAGTTTTGTAGAAAAGTCTTAGGGGTAAAAATATCAACTAACAGGGAATGTTTATATGGGGAGCTAGGACGATACCCGATGTTTGTGCATAGAAAATTTATAATGATAAAATTCTGGATAAAATTTTAAACCTACCAACAAATAGTGCTGTTTTTAGTGTATATAATATGTTACGGTCAGATGCAGATAATCGAAAAAATTATAATGGTTCTAACTGGGCATGTTATGTTAAACAAATACTTGATGAAATAGGAATGACAAATGTATGGTTAAGTCAAGCAAATATAAGTGTAAATTTTCAGTCCATTAAACAGCGTATCCTTGATATATACAAACAAGAATGGTATACAAGTATAAATAATTCAAGTCGACTTACATCATACGCGCTATTTAAGCACGACTTTGTTTTTGAAAATTATTTAAACTTTATAACCGATAAACGTTTCAGAATCGCATTATGTAGGTTTAGAACTTCATCTCATAGTCTACATATCGAAATTGGAAGGTATAAACAACATAGATAGAATAAATAGATTATGTAATAATTGTACCATGCATAAATTAGAAGATGAATACCATTTTTTATTAGTTTGCCCTAAATACAGACATCTAAGACATAAATACTTTAAAAGATTTTATTGCCATTGGCCAAGTATTTTTAAATTTGAAAAGATTATGTCAGAGCACCAAAAAAGTACAGTTGACAGAGTTGCCAAATATATATACTTTGCGAACAATTTAAGAAATTAAAAGATGGATGATATCGAGTATACTTCTCTGACTATTCTGTATGTTTTGTTTTTTGTTTAGCTTCATTTCAAGTTCACATCAGTATATGATTGTAAATATTGGCTATATGCAGCTTTCAGGTGTTTAATGCTTAATAAATGTTGTTGTTGTTGTTGTATTAAAGAAAATATGCGACGCGCCAAGGGATCTGACATATAGGTCCCTCTGATTTATTATGATATCAAATTAAGTTATTTCAGTTAAAATAGTTTTCAACTTTAACAAAACTTAAGCAACATCCATTTAAAACAAACAAACAAACCAAATAAAAATAAAAAACACACAGAAAATTGTCTTTAGAGTTCACATCATGGCGTGAATGTTTTCAATGTTAAATAGTTCCAATTTTCATTGACAATAATCCACGAGCCGTTCTTTTTAACCTTGTCATATAAAGGAACGCCACTAAAGTATTGTTTTTTTATATCATTTTTACCGTAACTGTAGTTGACACATTTTATTTGCCAAATGTATGAATTATAGTTACGCGTTCGTTTTAGTTATAAAATACCGTTTTAGATAGTAAAATTTGCGCTCCATAGAATTTTTTTTAAATACTCAAAGTTGGTGTTTCAGCGTGTGGTGTTTTAGTTATTCCAAAACTTCTCCATACGCTCAATTTCATGAAGTTAGAACAAGTAAAAATGAGTTTCTTTCAATGCGTTTAAACATATTTATATGACATACTCTTTCAACCTTGCGAGATTAAAGGTTACCACATCCGGTATTAAGGTAGTCTTATTGTAATACTTTCCCTAACGTCAAGTCAAAACAATTCCAATAGCGTAGCAGATTGGTTACTTCCCGATCCGCAATGTTACTTTTTCAACATCTTGGGTATTAGATTATTTATAATCACTCATCCTTTATCGATATGTACTAAATTCTGGTCCGGTTATAATGGGTTAAAAGTTATTGAAAACCGAAGATTGTGAAAAAATAACCCTTTGAAAATGACCGATTTATTACGATATTGGCCGATTTATTCTTGGCGGGAAAGAAGTGCAGAATGACTACTTTAAGTCACCTGACATGGCCTTAAACATCGTGCATATCTAGTAACGCAGGAATGTGCAATTAACATAAAAGTAACGCCAAATCTGTGCAACGCTATTGCCAAAACGAATAACACAGTAAATAAACGAACCAAAATATTTTATTCTAAATCTTTAAAGAAATGAATTAGCGCATACGGACGCTTCGACATTATACTTAAACCAGCATTGCATTTTTTTCAGGACTTTGTTTACTTTCTTTGATCATCGTGTGAAAGACAACCTCATTACCGTTTTGTAGGTGACTTTTGTGTTTCGTCAAATGAATATATACATTTAACACATTTAAAGTTTTAACTTGATTTTTTCATATTCTGTGTACCTTAGACATTTGTCAAACTACAAGCTGGTAAAATAAGATTTAGCTACTTTTAATGAGATAACCGCCGTTGATTCTGTGTTTCATTCACGAATTCGGCGTTACCTCGTTAAAATGGTTTCAATTATGTTTTATCTGCTAAATTAAGTGTAATATGACACAGTATATTGGGAAATGTCTCAGGTACACCGAATATAGAGAGGATATTTTTTCTGTGTGTGTATAAGATGAAATTTTATTTCATCGAACAGTATTCTCACGAGATGAAATAAAATTACATCTTTC